TTAGTTTTTTTTTTTTTTTTTTTTATTATTAAGGAACCAAATAAATCGTGAGTAAACACACAGCCACAGTTACAAAAAAAATCCATGAAATGTAAAAGAAATTATTTATTATTACTTTTTTTATTTATTCATCTTTATTACACAGAGTAGTAGACACTGCACAGCAGCCTTTGGCAAAACCATGACAAATACCAAAAGCAAATAAATGGCCAAAATCATACGCTAACGTTTAAGACCTCATCAGAAAACAAACTTTTTAGCTAACAGAGTTTTATGTTGAAGAGAGTTGTTGTTCAATAGTGATCTCAAATGAGTGCTTTAAGTTAGAAGAGAAATGTTTTGTGGAGAGTTAGATATGAATGAAAGCAATACCTAAGTGTGGAATAAGAAAAAAAAAACATAACTGTATCTGTAGTAATTTTGGGTGCTACAGTTTAAGGTAGTAAATTGGGTTCATAGTACCGAAAACCATAAAAGCAGTTAATATTTAAAACAGTAGCAGACAAATGATTCACGAAACTGTGAGTAATGAAAAGGGAATCTATGTATATTTGCTTAAGGTGACCATATTACAGATTGTTTAAATGCCGCACGATATCTAAAGGATTGAAATTTGGACTAAATACCAGGGATGGGGGTAATGATTACACAAAGTAATTCATTACATGATCAATTACAATTACTTGTAATTGTAATTGCAGTTTTTCCAATTACAATTACTTGCAATGTGCAATTGACCAATAACCAATTACAATTACATGTAATTGTAATTAAATGTTCACGAATTACAATTACTTCTAATTGTAATTGAAGTTTCCAATTTAAATTACTTGTAATTGAAATTTAAGTATAACTAATTACAAATTACATGTAATTATAAGGAATAAAAATTCACAATTACAAGTAATTGTAATTCGAAATTCTTCAATTACAATTTCAAGTAATTGTAATTGGCAAAACTTCAATTACAATTAAAAATACATGTAATTGGCAGAACTTCAATTTCAATTACAAGTAATTGTAATTGGTAAAGCTTCAGTTATGATGACTTCATATTGAAAATACAATGCCAAATACTAATTGATATTAAAATAATTGAAATGAAAAATGAAATATTAAAATTTTTTTTTAAAAATCAACTTTTTATTAACTTTTAAGAACATCGTATCCAATTTTTTTCGCTTTTTGATCCAAAACGAAATTTCATATTAAAGAATTTTATTATTATTTGTAATTTAGTTCTAACCGATTTCATACCTTTGTATTTTTTTACAAAGATAATTCTGTATAGTTTATGATGTCGCCATAAAGTAGAGACAACTGAAAATAAGCAGAAACTTCAAAACTAAAACCTGTTCACTCTTTTATTACAATTTTTCTCATTTCTTTAAGTATCTCGCCAAAACAAAATAATATCTCTTTAAAAATTACTCACAATATTGCCAGAAATAGTTTTACTCAAAAATCCCCATTTTTTAATTTAAATCCCCAACTTTTTTCCTCAACATATTTTAATGCAAAATTTCAATATTAATGTTGACGATTTAGTCATGCCTATCCCTTCATACAAGGAAATCTTCAGAAAATGTCTTTCTTAAAAGTATCAGCTAATGAAATGAAATTCTACATAAGAGCGGAAACATCGCTCTCAAAATTTCTTGAGAATCGGTTCAGATTGGATCTAAGTCTAAGATTACTTCCGTCCGTCTGTTGAAAACACGATAAAGTTCATACGGAATAAGCTAGAGAACTAAAATGTTGACAAAAATGTTTTTAGTTGAGTCAAGTTTGTTTGGTGTTGAAAATAAGCAATATCGATCAACGATTTCACTTAGCCCCCATATAAAGCTATCTTCAAACAAGTATGAAATTATAGTCGAGCGAGTCTGACCCTACACCAGTTATGAGAGTAAAAAAAAAAACAAATTTTCTGAAGGATACTTTATATGGGAGCTTCCCCAAGCACTGTGTCATTAGTCTTTTTAAGCAAATTGTGGACATTAAAGTCATTTTTTGAAGGAGGGCTTTGTTTGGGGGCTAGGATCAAAATACATCAGGGTCTTCAAGTATAAAGCTTAGTTGTGTCCCTGAGTATATTAAAGATATACATATACATACACTAAATTTAAGTTAATTATCTTCAAAATTGCGACCCGCAGTTTGATGTCAAGGTTTACATAAACAGATGGACGGACGGTCAGAGGGACGGACGGTCAGACGGACGGACGGTCAGACGGGCGGACATAGCTAAATCGACTCAGAAAACAATTACAAGCCGATTGATATACTTAAAGGTGGGTATAGGACCAGTATTATTGTACGCTAGAAACATCTCCACACAGAGCCAATATAGCCTCCCCACTAAAGTGGTGTAGGGTATAAAGATTACTATAACGCACATAACTGAATAGCGATGAAATTCAACAAAAACAAGTTTTATGGGAGGAAAAATGTTTTTGTAAAATATTATGTGGATCAGCCCAATCTCCATCGAAAATCCGCCACCGGAAAATGACTTAAACACTCTTAATTGCTTAAGAAAATGCAATATAGCAACAAAATTCGTTACAAAAAGGTTTTACAGGGAGATAAATTTCTCTGTCAAATTTTGCAAGGTATATAGTTGTTTCTACCCCTCATAAAAGACCTTCTTCGGAAAATGACTTTAACGCTCAAAACTGACTTAAAAAACATGTTTTATAGAAACTAAAATCTCTCTGTTAAATTTAATGATGATCGCCCCAAATAAAGTCCCCTCAGAAAATTATTTGAACGCTTATTACTTAAGGTCCATATTAGGCCCTCTTTAGAAATTTTCTATAAAACAAATAACTAGCTTAAAGCTAAGAAATCCCACATAAGAAAATATCTCTGTCAAATATAATAAGGATCAGTGCACCATATTAGGTCCTCCTCGGAAAATGACTTTAAAGCCCCTAACTTGCTGCAAAATGGCTCTCCCAGAAAATGACTTTAACGCTCATAAAATTTTTCAAAACACCAGTATAGCAACTAAATTCGACATAAAGAAGTTTGATAGAAACTAAAATCTTTCTGTTAAATTTTATAAGGAATGATTCACAATTAATCCTGCTCCTCAAACATATAAGGCCCTCCTCATAAAATTACTTTTACGTCTAAAAAAATTGTTAAAAATTCTATTAAAAACCACAAATCCCTTCCCGCGAACGCCTCTTGAAATGCCCACATCTGGCCACACTAATTACTCATTTCTTTCTAAAGACTCTTGTGTTATACTCTCTTCGATAAGTATGTATGAGTTTTAATTGTATATCATCATTTTATTAAGATTTTTTTGTTGTATATACTTATTAAGCCTGCACACAACAACAATAATCATAATCGTATGCCGGTCATACTCGTACTACAATTAAAGTCATCGGCAAAGACGTCATCATCATCTCGATGTGTTTGTATGTTGGTATTGTGTGACAGAGTGAACAAAACAAAAAAATGAACAAATGTTATTGTAATTGTAGTCAAAACCGTTAACGCTGTTATTGTTACAGCATGTTTGCAGATGCTGCTTCTTCATTTGTGTTTATTTTTATTTTGTTGTTGCTTGTTTTTTTTTTTTTTTTTTTTTTTTTTTTTGTTGACCATTCATTATTATTATTGCTGGCTAATATATTTGTTGTTGTTGTTTGTTTGTAAGTAAATGTGTATGTATGTATATCTTACTGTAAGATGTGCTGTAATATGTTGATTGTGCGGTAATTTTAGTTGTGGCTCTGTTATTGCTCTTTTGTTTTTGTTTTTGCTTTAATGTTTATTTCTTTTAAACTGTAATTGCAGTCACACTACTAAAGGCTGTTTCATGTTGTTGTTGTCTGTATGTGTTATGTGAAGTTTTAGATATTGCCATATGAGGGGGAATTATTTGCAACAAACATTAATTTAGGGATAATTAAAGTTCGAGCTGTTCCTAGATGTTGACCTATTATAACATGAGTATACTTGTTATAGTTGTTACATATCGCTCATACGCTAACATGGTACAAGATAATTTTTGTATGAAATTTTCTATTGTATCTTTCAAAAAAAGAAAGTTCTGCATTTTAATTTAACTTTTCTAACACTTAAATTAATAGTTAAAATTTTCTCCCTAATGGTGATTTTAATACCTCGAAAACGGAGTTTTGTTTAGTTGAAAAATCTGGTCACCACCAAGCATTAGAACCCCAGATTTCGTAGTTGTTGGTATATGGGCTTTGCAAGCATCAGCTAAAATTACAAACAAACAGCAACAAAATATTACACTTAGGTTTAAAGCCTTTAAAAAAAGTGCAAATTTGCAAATGTATGTAAGTTTATATGATTTTGTATTAGAGCCTAAACTACGCAACATTTACCAAGGAGAGTCTTACATACAATATTATAATATTTCATAGCATTTTATTTAGTTTGTATAAAGATTTTCTATTGCTATTGTAAACATGCAAAAATCTTCTCCAAATGTGCTCAAGATGAAAATGAAATGAAATCTGAAATAAACTCAAATATACAGTACATATTGTTGAAGTTTTTCAAACGACTGCGAAAAAAAAAAACAATTTTTAAGCCTAAATACGACAACAACTACAAGTAAACACCTCTTTTTTTTGTTGCTGTTGACGAACAACAATGAAGAAGATACAATTTACACTCAGATACTCATATAGAGCTGAACTAACTAAATATTTTATTTGTTGGTTCGTCTGTCCGTCTGTCCATACGATTTGTTTTGTTTGGTTTGTTCGGCTGTTTGGTTGGTTCATCTTTTGGTAAGTTGGTGTTTGTTGTGTGTCATGTGAACCTTCTCCCAGCCACAGAAGTCAAAGACAACTACAGTAACAACAATAGCAACAGCAGCCAACAAACAGTTGTTGCTGCTGCTGTTGTTTTTTTTAGTATTCATGGATTGCATGAAATGCTTTTTGGCAAAAATAAATGAATTTCGTCAATTTTGGTATAAATGGATGAGACGCTAACTGTAGATTGTCAGTAAACCATTTGATTTAGTTTAATAAACAACAATCATCGTCGCAACCTAAAGTCGCAACGAATCAGAACTTTCCATCTTTTCCAACCCCTACTATTTTGCTTATACAACAACAACAAAAAAATCAACCACATTTGTTCGTTCAACACACAAATACAAAAAAAAAGGATTACCATTATTATTGTTTGTGTGTGTGTGATAGAGTGCAAGGATATATAAAATACTCGTTAAACGCGTTAATTGTTCGTGTTCTTAAAAGTCGTGTGTTCATAAAGTTTTAGTTAATTTTTATTGAGAATCATGAAAGCTTTCATTTTAATGTCATGCTTGGCTTTGGCTGCTGCTAGGCCAGAAGCTGGTTATGCCTATAATAGACCTGGAGGCGGTGGTGGCTCCCATGGCGGTGGCGGCTTTGGTGGCAGCTCCGGAGGCGGTGGTGGCTTTGGTGGCAGCTCCGGAGGCGGTGGTGGCTTCGGAGGTGGCGGTTTCGGTGGTGGCTCCAGTGGAGGCGGTGGTGGCTTCGGCGGTGGCGGTTTTGGAGGTGGTTCCGGAGGCGGTGGTGGTGGTTTCGGAGGTGGCGGCTTCGGCGGCGGCTCCGGTGGAGGCGGTTTCGGTGGTGGTAAGTTCTAAAGCCTTAAAAATATTGTTAAAAAATTTTAATTTTAACATCCTAATTCATTTTCCTTGTTCTTAATTTTTTTTCCTAGGATCCGGTGGTGGATTTGGCGGTGGTGGCTCTATTGGAGGTTTTGGCGGCGGCGGCGGTGGTGGTGGTGGCACTACTTTGGTGCAGAAACACATTTATGTTCATGTACCACCACCAGAGCCCGAGGAATCTCGTCCCCGTCCCAATATACCCATTGGACAAGCCCAGAAACACTACAAGATTATCTTCATTAAGGCTCCATCTCCTCCTTCCTACCAGGCACCCGTCATTCCCGTACAACCTCAAAACGAAGAAAAGACTTTGGTCTATGTGTTGGTCAAGAAACCAGAGGATCAACAAGATATTGTTATTCCCACTCCAGCTCCCACTCAACCCTCCAAACCAGAAGTTTACTTCATCAAATACAAGACCCAAAAGGATGGCAGCGGCGGTGGTGGTGCTGGAGGTTTCGATGGCGGTGCCGGTGGTGGTTCCGGAGGTGGTATTGGTGGCGGTATTGGAGGCGGCATTGGTGGTGGTATTGGAGGTGGTATTGGAGGTGGTATTGGCGGCGGTAGCGGCGGCAGTGGTGGTTACGATTTGGGTGGTGGTTCCGGCGGTGGTGGTGGTGGCGGTGCTCCTTCCTCCAACTATGGACCTCCTGGCAAATCTGGACCCTATTAAGTCTCTCACAACTGGCTTTGGCAAAAACGCTCTTTTGACCTTTGACTTGTGTTTTTTAACGCATACTTACACTACTGGCTAGTCCTTGCAATTTTTAACACAAAAACATAATTATTTTGACATTTTGACCTCTAACACGAGACTTAAACAACTGCCAAAAATTCAACACAAACAAACCTTTAAAAAATTTTTAAAGATCAAACAACAACTCTAACGCTGTGACTTCCATAACATCAATAACAACCAGACAAATTCTCCACTCGAAACATAAAAAGAAGAGAATCTAAAAGAAAAAGACTTCTTATATTCTGCGGAATATATAGAAGATCTTATAAAACTATCCTTGTGCTAAACTGTAACTTAAATAACGATCTGTGGTTATTTTTTCTCTCATCATAATACTCAACTGTTGTATATAAGCCATGTTTCCTTCATACTCTCTCTCTCTCTCTCTCAGTCTCACTCGAACTATCTCTACAACTATCTCATTGTCCTCAAAATCTTTTTCTAAAACACTATCTAAATCTCTAACTATCTGACTATCTCATCTACTGTAAATGAAACAAAACCTTCTAATTTGTTATTAAATTTAAGTTTGCGCACGTCTCCTTAGAGATTTCTACTCCCCTCATCTAATCTCTACTACTTTTTTTTTTGTACTTGCCTACATTTGTTAACAAAATTTTTTGTTGAGTGGATCCCAGTAAATCTCTAATAAGCGTGTGTATATGTTAAATATATACATATTTTTTAATTAATTGTATTAATTTGTTAAGTATTTTTTATTATGCACAAATAAAAAAAATAACGGTGACAAAATTTGAAAAAAAAAAATCATAATTGAAGTTTTTATTTTATTTTAATTACATTCCATTATATGAATTGCATAAGAGTTTCTTGAAAATTTGCCAATTCATGACAAAATGATTATTACTTTTACTTTTGAGCAGAACAAATATCATTAACAAAACATCTGAAAATGTTGTATAACAATTGTGTGTTATTATCTAATTTTATATCCGCCAAATGTTAGTGATTTTTTCAATTGAACGTGATTTGAAATTAATTTTTAATTTAATTTTATGTTAGATAAACAAATTTAATGTATTATAGGAATTTACATAAGTAAAGTAGGTGATATAAACAATTAATGGGTTAATAAGATAGCAAAACTTTGTCATTGTTACCTACATTTATAGTGCCCTACTTTAGTGCGGAAGTTGTTAATATTCAATTATTTAGTTCTGATCTACAACATCTTCTATAAATAGCTGTTATACTAGCTGTCATTTTATCGAATTTGATCACACTATTACATAATTTACAGTATGACTACTAAAAGTATATTTTGGGCATTGGGGCTGATGAAATCTTGGACCAATGTTGGCTATTTTCAATTTCAAACAAACTGTATCAATAGATAGTTGCTCGCTAGACCCTCAAGTTTGGCTACTATCGTGTTCTCGAACATTCCGGCAAGATTAAACATTCTAGTAAGATTAAAGACTAATTTTAGAACTAAACACTTCATATTAAGTACATATGTATGTTCACCATACCACCAGAAAAGGGGCGGTTATATCATGCCCACGCCCACTTCGTATGTTAGTGTTTATTTTGGTTAAAGGAACAACTTAAGACAAGTAAGAAGTTATAGTCGGGCGAGGCCGACCCTACATCAGTTATAAAATAAAATGTGATTCAGTATTCATAATAAAGCATTTAAGTTCGTATTTATGATAATTCAAATTTCGAAGTGGGGTTTTGTAAAGGGATTAGGATCAAATGAGGCCTTGTCATCAAAAAATTCATCAGGGTCATCAGGAAGGCTATATTGAACATAATTATGAACTTAAAATCCCTATTCGGGAGGTTCAGTTGTATGGGGCTAGGTCAAATATTGGACCAATGTTCATTTTCAATAAGATTCGTCTCTAGTACAATAGAATATTATGTGCAAAATTTCATTGAATTATCTTCAAAATTGCGACCTGTACTTTGATTAAAAGGTTTACAAGCCCTTTTCGGGGGTTTAGTTGTATGGGGGCTAGGTGAAAAAATACAATAGAAGATCATGTATCAAATTGCATTATCTTCAAAAATGCGACCTGTAGTTTGATTACAAGGTAATAGTTAAATCGACTAAGAAAATTATTCTAAGCCGATTGGTATACATTAAGGTGGGTATAGGACCAACTAAAGTGGTGTAGGTTATAAATTGGCAAACTGAATCAAATCTTATGAAATCAAAATGCTTTAAATATGTAGGTGTAGTACCAATAAAGCCACGCCTACTTTTTATGCCCATGAGGGAAAAAATATATGTCAATTTTACAAAATACTTTTAAAATGTATTAAAATTTATAGTATAAAGTAATATATATTAATTATTATGACAACCATGTCCACAACCAAACATTTCGCCCACTTTTCACTATTATAAAACCGTTTGATATATAAAAATATTTACAATTTTAATGATTATAGTTGATTATTTATCAAAACTTTAAAAGTGGGTCTGGTCAATAAAAATATTTTAGTTATATTCGTTATGCATAAAGCTTAATTTAATAAAATTTCGTCAAAAAAAGTTTGCAAAACACGAGAATCAAAACCAGTAAAAAAGTGGGCGGTGTAATGATATGACCTCTCACATTTTCTGTTGGGTTTATGTCAAGCATTTACATCAGATTTAAGATAATGTCATTAAAATTGAAAAGATGTTTAATCAATAAAGTGTAAAATTTTCCTTTCAGACGATTCTTACATTATAGGGATCGCAAGCGATCGCAAAAATTATCGACTCACCTTACATAGTCGTACGATCACATCACAAAACTACAATAAAAAGTCTAGAGACGATAAATCGCTTAACTCTAGGGTTCTATAAATCGACTCTCGAATAATCGAACAATAGACTTTTTGTCGAAAAAAGTCGAAGTCGACTATTTTGTTCCAAAAAAGGCGATAACTCGACTATCCTCTATAAAAATGTCGAAAAGTCGACTTTGTAAATAAAAGTCGAAAAGAGTCGAAAAAGTCGAAGAAACTCGAAAAGTCGAAGAAAGCCGAAAAGTCATAAAAAATCGAAAAGTCGGAAAAAGTCGAAAAAAGCGAAAAAAAGTCAAAAATTTTAAAAAAGTGGAAAAGAAGTCAAAAACTCAAGAAAAGTAAAATAGGTCGAAAAAAGTCGACTATAAAATACTAAAAGACGAAAAGTCTAAAAGTCGACTTTTAATTAAATGAAAAAGGTCGAAAAATCGACTTATCATAAAATGCAAAAAGTCGAAGTTTAACTAAATGCAAAAAGTCGAAAAGTCGTCTTTTCGTTTCAACTATCAAACCCTACTTAACTCTAGCAGTTAATTCAGATTACATCCACCTTAAATAAACACACCCTTAAGTCACGGAAAATTTAAATAATCTAAAGAAGTTTTTTTTTTCTTAATCCTTAACATTTTATAAACTATAAGAAACTCCTTAAAAATTCTCAATTTTCTCTATTAACAAACTTTCTTGAAGTTACTTTTCTTTGCCCAATTTTTCAATTTAATTCCTTATAATACTTTTTCCAAAAATTAATTTTCATCTAGTAGGTTAGGTTAGGTTAGGTTGATAGGAGGATGTATACTACATCAAATCCGAAGAAATACACCTAGGCCACTATCGGGCCTGTTGTGCGCTCCAATTCAAGAAAAAAAAAAAAAAAAAAAAAAAAAAAAAAATTGTTTACTGAATGTTCAGAAACTCAGTTTCCTGGACGTAATTCCTAAGAATCTTCCAATCGGTGTTGGTTAAGAATGTTATTTCCGGAATAACATCACTTCCAAGATACTTGGATCTAACTTCGACGAATGCCTGACAATGGCAAAGAAAGTGCTCCAGAGTTTCACTGTCCTCTCCACATGCTCTACATTCGTCTGAATTCGCACGTCCAATTTTGTATAGATGTGCTCGTAATCCTGTGTGTCCACTGAGAATACGTACCATCATACTAACCTCAGACTTGCTCATTTTGAGAAGATTTCTCGTCTTGCTCTCATCAGGGTCACCCCATAGAATCTTTGTGGTTCTACCCACCGTTTCATTATTCCAAGAGGCCTTATGGGATTCTCTCATCCATATTTTTAATTCAGCTTTTGTTGCGTCGAATGGTTTTGCGTTTGTCAGGTTAACTACATCGAGCTCCCTTCCCTTTAAAGCTATTACATTCGCCCTTTCGTTGCCGATTACTCCCGAGTGGCCTGGTACCCATATGATGTGAACCTTACCTCTGGGAGAGTATTCAGTTAAAGCTTTCTTACAATCCAATACGGTCTTAGATTTAATTCTATCACCTGATATCGCACAAATTGCCTTCTGGCTGTCGGTAAATATATTAAGCCCTGTGGGCGCCATATTTATTCTAATCCAATTTACACATTCCGTTATTGCTCGTACTTCTGCCTGGAAGCTTGTGTTATGATTAGGTAAACGGTGGTATATTTCTGTTTCTGGGTCTTCAATATAGAACCCCAGACCCACTTTGTCCCCTAATTTAGAGCCATCCGTGTAGCAACGGATTCCTACTGGTATTTGCTCTAATGTTCCGCTTGACCAAGACATTCTATCTGGGATTAGCGTTTCAAAGTTTCCGACATATTCAGTGTCTGGTATGCGATCAGGCACGTCCGATGAATGTGTATAACCTTCCAATGTGTCCAGTATACATTGATGACGTGTCCTATAACCGTTTTTGGCCAGTTCGCCTAAAGTAAAGAGCCGTTCGGCTGTAAGCGCCGCCTCATATCTTATATATGTTTCAATGGGTGGAATATCTAGCAACGTTTCCAGAGCCTTGGTTGAAGTAGTACACATGGCACCACTTATACCCAAGCAGCATGTACGCTGAACTCCCTGTAGTAATTTGATATTACACTTTTTGTCCAAAGCAGTCCACCAGATTATTGAAGCATAAGCTAGAATTGGTCTAATTACACTTTTATAAAGCCAATTTGTCATAGTAGGACTAAGACCCCATTTCATGCCTATGGTTCTCCTACATATCGCCCAGCACCGATGTGCCTTGTTGATCCTATCCTCTATGTGGTGTCTCCATTTTAATTTCCGGTCAAGTATTACACCTAAGTACTTAACTTTGTCTGTCACCGGTATCTTCTTGCCCAAGAAGCAAGGTTCAGTATATGTAGAAATTTTTGTCTTTCTTGTGAAAAGACAGATTTCCGTCTTCGCCGGGTTAACATTGAGGCCTCTCGGTTGAGCCCAGCTCAAGGCCGTATTCAGAGCCTCCTCAGCTCTTCTACACAAGTAATTTGGATCCTTTCCCTTTAAAAGTATTACGACATCGTCTGCATAGCAGACAGGTCTAAGTCCTTTCTCGGTTAAGGTCCTTAGGAGGCTATTAATCGTGGTGACCCAGAGTAAAGGTGACAAAATGCCACCCTGTGGTATACCTCGAAATACCTTTTTCCTTATAGTTATATCGTACATCTCGCAGCTTATCCATCTGTTCCTTAGCATGTAGTTGATCCAGTTACGGAGCACCCGGTCAACATAAAACTGGTCTAGGGATTGGATAAGGGTATCAGTGTGCACGTTATTGAAAGCGCCTTCGATGTCAATGCATACTGCCAGTGTATACAGTTTGCTATCGAAAGATTCACCTATGTAGTGGACAACTTCATTTAAAGCGGTTTCCACCGATCGTCCCTTTACATAAGCATGCTGCTTATATTTAAGGTCATTGTATGGTATGCTGCTTTTAACCATGCTATCGACTATCCGTTCCAAGGTTTTAAGTAGGAAGGACGTAAGACTTATCG